CTTGCTCTGTTGGGGATTGTAAGCGGCAGAGGTGCTGAAGTTATTATTCCATTATATTATTCCATTACCTCTACTAGCCAGCAGAGGGCAACATATTAATATTATTCGTGAGCTTTCTGTCTGATCACAGGTGTTGTCGGTTAGTTTCGTTTTCCCCCTGCATGAGCACCTCCTTGTCTCATTCAGTTTTGTCTGTTAGACAGTCAAGGGGATACTTCCAGCGAATCAGTGACATAATGCAGTATAGGGCATGTAGTAAAATATTATGAATTCTCTTTAAATAGGCTAATGATGTTAAGTCTCCCATTACGACATTTTTTCTTTACATGTCAGAGAACTTAGATATGTGGGAGAGATTCTGAATGTGCAGAAAGGTTTGAACATGAGCAGATAAGTTAATGTGTTTCCCAAGCGTTAATTTATTTGTGGCGGCCTAGGCCTATTTAAAATCGTAGTTGAGCTGCAGGCAGCGCATATTTGCGCAGCACATCCTCTCGCTCTCTCTCCCTCCGTAACACAGCTGCACAAATCTGTACAAACACGCTGTCAATGTCGGAGACCCAGCAGTTAAAAGTTATTAGCAAGTATGTAAGGAGCCTAGCTAATAAGGAGAGCTAAGTTAACGTTAGAATACAGCTGGGTTTTCGAAGCTAGCATGCTGTATATAGCTGCGCCACAGTTACACTGTCCTTCTGTGGGAAACACTGAGTTATGTGTACACAGCTGTGTACATTTCGAATATTGACAGTTTTACGAGAAGTGATGGCGGAACAAAAATGTGCTTGAATATTGTCAGAGTTGAGGAGCTCCGCAAGTGGCTGCGGGGGAAGCCTGTACCAACCCGCGGGAGGAGCGTGTGAGGCGTGTGAGGCCGGCCAGCTCACAGAGCCCTCTGCTCCCGCCGTCACACAGACCGCTGCAGCAACAACGGTAGACGAAAACACAGCTGGAAGGTTTTCATACCGCTTATCTGTCTTTACATTCTGAGTAATGTTGAAACGTTTTAACTTCAAAAGAGAAAGCTGTGTGGATCGCTGGTGTGTGTGTCGCATTGAACATTACGTCGCGGCAGTTGTGTGTGGTGTCGCTATGACGACAAGCTACGGAAAACGGAGCAGGGCCGAGTACAGTCGAGTCTATCGATTTGCGCTATGGTAGCATTTTTCGGCAAGGCAGCATAGATCATCAGAACACTGGCAACAGTTCAACGTTTAGTCCTAATGGTAAGATGTGGAACAATGATGTTGTGGACTTGTGAGTAACTTATACCATCTGCTAGGTTACGGTCTGAAGCGGCTTTGATTTGGATCACACTACCTTGTTTCTTACGACCCGCCCTTCTCTGCTTCTGATTGGCTAGTAGTCCTTACCTGGGAACTGCGCATGTGCAACTCCCAACAAAGATTTTGTACAAGTAAGATGCTTCACTCTGTAGCTCAAGAGCAGAGCGTACAACACACAGGGTGAAAAGAGGAGCTGCAGCAATGTGCAGTATGAGAAAAATATGGTGTTTTTTGAAAATTAAACCATATAAACCTGTTCTGGTACAACCCCTAAATAAGATTTTGAACCTGAAAATGAGCATAATACCACCTCTTTAAATAACATTTTGTAGAAGACTTGTGCCACTTGACTTACATGACTTACATATTCTATTTATTTAAACCTAAACTATTATCTTTTCCTAAACCTAACCAAGTAGTTAAACCTAACCAAACTACAACCGTTTCACAACGTTATCCACATGTTAAACGTCATGTGACTTAGGTCAGTAGGTCCAGTAAGCCTGTCGCTGGACTGGTACTACTTGCCAACGGTCATATATGTCGTTGTACTTTCCAACAGTCTGTTTGGGAGACTTGACAATCGACATATTTTGTCATTTATATATCAGGACGTGTTGCACATACAGCCAGCCTCTAAAGCAGTGATTTACAAACTTTTTGGCTGTGACTACTTATATAAAAGCAGTTTCTGGTTTGGGCCCCATGTTTCACCAGAGAGAGTTTTTCTCTTTAAACGTCTCAGATGGTTTCATTGAAGTAATTATTTTCAAAAAGACAAATATTCAAAGAGATTCCAAGAACTAAAGCTTTCCACTATTAAAAAAAGAAGAATCAAAGATTCATTCCAAAGTCTAAACAAATTTGTGTTGCAGAACTTTGTGTTTTTCCTACCCTACTTACCATTACGACCCCTCATATTTATTTTGTGACTCTTTGGAGGGGGCTGACCTCTAGGTTGGGAAACTCACTCTGAAGGATTCAGCACCTCCAATGTAGACATTTCAAAATAAAGTATTTCACAAGAAATACTTGCATGAGAATCAATCAGGGAATATGAGAACACTTTAATAAGGAATGAATTTGAAAGATAAATGTTAAAAACTTTCTAATTAGAACAAAAAGTACAAAAAAGTAATGGAAAACATTCAAATCCATGAAGATGAATGTATTTATAAAGACAAACACACGTTATCTGTATCATTTAATTCTAATCAACTAATACCCTAGTTTGATCATATACACTTTATATCTAATTGTTCATTAAAGAATGAAAGATATGGTGCTGACCAGTCTCAAGTGCTGAGATACCACCACACTCTTTTTAAAAGGGAGGAGCAGCAGAGAAAATAAGAGACAGTTCAAATAGGATTTCTTTCTTTCTCCCACTGACAGTCATTTGTGCTGCAGTGAAGCCGCTGATAGTTTTGCTATTACTGCCAGCCATACAGTGCAGGTACAGAAGAATGGGCTGTTGTTTCATGACAGTCCAGATAGGTTTGCTTTCTTCTTCTGACAGCGCAGCGGCAATGCACAGCTTAGTTCTAAAGTGACTAATGAATAATGGTAATATATGGTAAAATTTGTCATTTGTGTGTTAAAGATGTTAAAGATCTGTGTGGAAGTTGATAACAACAACTGACTGTGTGTGTTTTTAAGTTGTTTTGTCTTGACATTGTGTCAGCAAATGTTTTATGTGCAACAGGTAAAGTTAACTTTGTTTGTTCTTGATATATAAAAATAAAACACAAAGATTGAACTAATGTTATTACTAATGATGTGATGCCATGTAATAATGAACAGGTAAACATCCAGATAATTATAAACTATTTGTTAATTTTGCATGAACTCATTGTTTAATAAGGGATGACAAACATTCATTCAGTGACATTCAGTCAGTCAATAGCCACCGCTGAATGAAGCCTAGTAGTGGAAAGGATAGTGAGAGCGCTAATGATGTAGAAAACAACCAACAGCAGACTGGGTCTTCAGAATATCAAGACTGCCATCCCATGGTCAAAGAGTGAACATGTCTCCCCTCTGAAATGCATCCTGCAGACAGCAGGATATGGCACAGGCGCTAAAATAGAAGTTACTCTCTGTCCATTGCATTTATTTTATAGGTCGAGCACAATCCCACCGAGTCTGTTTCTCTTTCTGTATAATGAAAGACTGTGATGGTGCTTTATCACTTGAACATCCTCATCCCCAACATTAGCTCAGATATAATGAGGGTTACTCAGAGGACGGGGCCCCTCTCTGCAGAATGATAAAAGACCCGAGAGTGCGCTAGTGACACTGCATCGGTCATTAGCCTGGCTCACTTTGCCCTTTCATACATTTCCAAATAAGTGCCTTCCTGCGGGTTTAACAGACCACCTAATCTGCCTACTTAGAGGGGCAGGGGAAGAGTGGAAATCCAGAGAGGTGAGCGGCAGGCAGGTAAATGTGCTTATCAGAGCTGTGACATGTTTAGCTTCTCTGGTGGAAATGCTGCCACATGCTGTAAACCCCAGTAGGTGTCACCAGTGATATAAACTGCTGGGGGATTAGTGTGTTTACATGAGGCATGCATTACATGTGGAACAGTGGCTGCCATTAATGTTACAGGTTTAATTCCTCGCAGCGTGTCTCTCTCCGCGCTCTCTCTCTTTTAAAGGTGAACACAGAATTTTAAGAATTCACCTGGTGTTGGCCTGTCCGATCAATACTTGTAAATTTACAATTCTCTACAAAAGTCCAGAGAAGTAACGGTCTTATCTCTGACGCTGATAACATGCACAGCCTGGAGCCAACAAACAGACGATTGATTAGAGGACAAGAGGGACATGTGAGTGCTGACACCAGAGAGGACCAAATGGAAATATCACAGCAAATCATCAGTCCCTACAGGAATACTACAAATTAAGGTCAGGCTTTTGAGTAGAGAGACACAAGTAAGTCCATTTAGGGATACTACAGGTATACAAAATCACTTTTTAAAAGTAAAGTTTAAGTCCTGCCACACAAGCTGCGTTCTCATGTTTAGCTATAGAGTACATGAAGTCATCTTAAAAATCAATGGTATGTCCTTTCCTTTGACATAACACAGAGGGACTGCATTTTCTACTGTCCTACTACTACAAGAAAACAGTTTTCAAAATGATATATGGTTAGTCTCTGCCTGGTGATGTAGTCAACCCTGTTTTCATCTTTTCATCTTGTGGGTGACGTTATCCTGCTATGTAAGATCAGCCTGCGAGGTTAATAGAAATGGTGGTAGTACATCACTGTCATATTCAAGAAAAACAGGCCGTTGGCACTCTTTTCTAGATGGCAGAGGAACAATCAATGGTAAGTGAGTAACTGCTGCGTTATTTGACTAAACTGGGGCACTGAATGCCCCAAAGGGAACAAGAAATGACAACCATAACATTTCACTTCAGTTGCTAATGCCAACGTTAACTGTACAGTTTCCATACAGTAAGCAGTGAGAGCAGTTCCATTACCTCTACTAGCCAGCAGAGAGCAACATGAAGCACCAAGTCTACTGAAGGGAGCCAATTCACGTTCAGTTTAATCGGTTTATAAATTAAAATGGATCAAATGCAAGTCATCTCTTGCTATGGTTTTAATATGAAATCTAAATTAAGATTTTTCATTGTGTGTATATATGTACTGTACAGTCTATGTACACGATGCTTAAGGGTTTTAAGAGACAAAAAATAATGTCCAGTATTTACAAAGAAAAAAAAAAGCATTTATTCGGCAACACTCGCTGCAGAGATAAAAGCATACTCTCAGCAGTAGGAAGTAAAAGAAAAGGAGGACATGTTACAAAGAATTGTTTAGGCAGTTGTAGAAACATTGTGTTCACTGTAGCACTTGATTTAACAACAGTTAGGAAGTTGGCACCCTCGTCAAAGCTTCACGCACACAGACGCAGAAAGGTATTAGGATTTCTGGTAAATGCACATACGCCCAGTTAATTAACATACATACTGTACATCCACAAACAGTTTGATTTTTTTGTAATTTTGTTGGCAGTTTAAAAAACCCTTCAGCTTTAACCCCTTCAGCATGAAGTCCGCTTCTTAGGTATCGGCAATGTAGTGCATGATATTCAAAAGTACAAGGAAATAAAAGAACATTAGTATTTTTAAGATTAATGAGACGTTATTGATTATAATGCCATCATGGATGAGAAGCATGGATTGTCAACACCTGTCTTACAGTACAGACTCCAAACATCACCTGTCATGTGAAAAAACAAGAAGTAATCTGCACTGTGAGAAGGGTGAAAAGGGCCAGGTTTCAGTCTACTCTCTCCCCTCCAAGTTACTGCTCATTACCAAGAACAAAATACTAGTTTTACATTACATTTTCACAGCCTCAAAATATCTAACAAAAGGGTTAAAATATCTACATATCACCATCAATTTGGGCTTTTTCTGTGATGTTCAGTGACAGAAGATATTATTTTGCAGCAATCCTGCTGAAAAACTGACATCTTATGACTGATTTGTGATAATTATCTAAGGCCCGACAACAAAATATCCCTGTTTTCTCTGATTGCACCGACTGATTTCTCTGTGGTCAGAAAATCACAAATCCTTGAATGAACTTTAAAAAAACAAAAAAAACAAAAATGCCTCAAGGATTTAAAAATGAAAACATTTGAAGTTGTGAAGATCAGAATCTGGACAGATGAATGAGTGAGGCAAACATCTTCAACAGACAGATGATTATAAATATGAAAGACAGCAGCATTAAGAGTTCTTGGTAAATTGATGAACACAAATTCAAGGGGTCTAATATTAAGAGCCTAAGGATTATGGCGGTTAGGATTGAGAGCAGGTAAAGAAATGAAGAGCACTGTTTACTTGACAAAGACTCAACAATTGTGTAAAACACACTGAACCAACATCAATGGCAGTATAATCGCTGAGTTAAACAGTAGAGAATGTCTTGAGCAGCAGAGTTAGTGTCAATGGCAGTTTGGTCATTGGCTTACTATGAGCCATCAAGCACTGCAGTCCGAGTCACAGTCACAAGAGTGGTTATCTTCCAATGAAATAGCAACTCAGATTTCATTCATTAAAAATGGCAACAAAAAAAGTGGTTGAGATTGTTCTAAACACTATACTATATAACCAGCTATTAAAAAGATCAAATTTCATTTGAATGACAATGGTAAGGATGCTCTGCTTTGATCCCCAACTCAACAGTTATATTGTGTTGTTAAGGTCCATGAAGAGTTCAAAGTAAACAGCATCTTTCTTTGAAGCTCTTCTTGTTCTTCTTGTTCTTTCCTTTTCCGTTTTTGTCTTTGTTTTCTGACATTTTCTTGCCTCGTACTTCACGCATCAGGTCAAAGAAAACCTGGAGAAATAAAAAAAATTTAAAAAAATCAAGTTATCAAGTAAGCAACTCAGAGAAGCAACATGCAAATCTGATATAGTAACAATAAAATGAAAACCCTTCATTTGAAAATATGTACAGTAACGTGCCAAGTTTGACAAGGGTGTCGACGTACCTTGTCGACGTTGGCTCTGGTTTTGGCTGATGTCTCTACATACTGGACACCCCACTCCTCGGCCTTCCCTCGGGCCTCGTCCACAGAAACCTGCCTTCGCTCCTCCAGGTCCGACTTGTTCCCTACAAGCAGGAGAGGGATCTTGTCCTCTTCCGCCTTCACCCGCAAGATCTGTTCCCTGTCAGCCGAGCACAGATTGTATATTTTTTGTATTTTCACCAGTTTTCCATCACAGTTCAGTTCCGGTTAGCAAGATCGGTATAGGTGCCATTCATTCTTTGACTACTGCAACTCACTGTTTTCAGCTATGCCTGTTTTCAACAATGACCCATTGTGTTTCTGTAAATAGATTGAGCCACTTCCTAATTTATAGCATGAAAGGGTCAAATAATGTTTCCCCACACACATAGATCGAATACCATCGCCATCCACACCAGCGTTTTAGAGTTGATCTCAGTCTACATTAAAATGACTGAAAACGCACATCTAGTGGCCGTTCAGGTACACTGGGCATGCTCGTGCCGGTGTAAACATAAAGCTGATGCTCTCTTCCGTAGTTACAGAAGATTTGGCAAAAGAATAAATTAATGCAGACGAAGAATCAGACCAGATTCTTTTTTTTGCAATAACGAGCTGGGACTGTTACTGAATGTAACACAGGAATGTGGCGGGGGACAACAGACTGGGAGCGGGAAGTAAACGGCGACATGCGCAGTAGTAATGTTATTTGCACAGTAAAGAATATTTTAAGAAAAATACCAACCAAATACCAAAAACTCTGTCGGTGTCAGTGTTTCTGCTTTGCATGACTTATAAGACCAAATCAGAGAGATGAGCGTGAGTTCCTGCGTCATCGTTTCTAAATTCCTCCGTTTTTGTCCGTCTTCACTAAAACACCCTCCGGAGTTTTAAAACAAAAAACGGGGTCTGCAGCGTTTCCACACTTCTCCGTTTTACAGCTTAGTTTTCGCCCTTTTTAGTCTGGACAGGAGGTGCAAACTTGGCAAAAGGTCTCTGTTTCTCTGTTTTAAAAATGCAGTAGTGTGGAAGGGGCCTTAGGACTACACTTTACTTGTAGTTCAGCAACATTTTGAGGTGAACATGATTGTACAGTGCTGTTGACTGAAATCTGCATCTGAGCTTCAGTGTTTTGTTCATTCTAAGGATGGAGAGAGTCTAAATCTATCTATTTGAACCTTCCTGCCACAACAGCTCCACACTGACACACTTCTCCCTCTACAAAAACTGCACTATAGACACTATAGAAAACGAATCACGCAAAGCTGTGTGTATGCAGAGCTCCTAAACAAATTGGATTTGCATTACTAATTTAGGGCAGGGTACTGGCAGATAGTATATATTTCATTCTATACGAAGTTTCTTGAGACTGGGGGCAAAAAAAACAAAAATAAAAAAGTTAGAGTTTGTTTGGGGCCCCTGTCGAAACCAAATAAATTTGACAACAAGAATGGCAACCATCTCCTAATATATATTTCAGGGTTAACACCCACAGGAGTCTAAGTCCCTATAGGTGCACTATTTACATGTTCTCAGTCCACACACAGACAGATGAAGTGCAGGATACAGTACCTGAACTCCACAGTGGCAGTGAAGGACTCATGCTCTGTGATGGAGAAGACCAGCAGGAAGCCCTCCCCACTGCGAAAGTAGTTGTCCCTGATGGCAGCGTAGTCCTCCTGGCCGGCTGTGTCCAGAATGTCGATCTGGACCTCCTCCCCATCCAGAACCACCTTCTTCCTGTAGCTGTCTGCCTTGGTGGGCTCGTAGTCCTCCACAAACTGAAGATCAAAAGATACATTTCTTTGGATATTTTGAAGCGTAAAACTGGCTGCAAGTAGTATTTACACGCATAAAGCATCAGTAAGGCATGAGCAGTTATGTACAGACAGCTACACTGGTTAAAATGGAAGCGTGACTGAGCCATCTAACGGACAGAGTCAGACAGATGACTGAGGAATGCATCTTGGTAGCCGAGCAAAACTGGGACTGTCTCTGTCCTCAGATGAGGGTTGAGTTGTCACAATAAAAAACATCTGTGGTCAAGCAAGAAGTGGACTAGAGAAAAGTTTCCTCTTTATAAGAATCCCTTACAGTAGTTTCGCAGCACTTGTGTGACGTAGGAGCCACTGCTGTTTCCTACAATCGCATTCCTACTTTGTATGTAACAGACAGCAGCTTCACTGCTTTCCAAACCATTTTGAATATAGCACTTCTTGCAATTACTTCACCTTAAAAGCCTTCCATTGGTGAACCACTGACAGGAGGATTCAAAGCGTTGAGAGGAAGTGCAGACATAGTCACATGTTTAGCAAATAACTAAAATGAGGATTATGACACTGGATAAATAATGAACTGTGAACAGGTTAGTCAAAGAGGTGCTTACTGTTGAATAACCTACTTCTCCATCCGCCCTCTGGTCACATTGAACGTACAGCAGTTTTAAGTTCAAGTTTATAGGGTTGTGTTGACTCACCTCATCGTACATGAACTGCAGGGTGAGGGCTGACTTCCCGACACCTCCACTGCCCACCATTATCACCTTGTGCAGTGCCAGAGAGCTCTGGTTTTTACTTTTACTGGTAGCCATAACTGGATTCTTCTTTGCGTCTCTTTCACACACTCACACACATGCGCGCGCACACACACACACACACACGCACACACACACTTCTCTGCACCCTGGCACACTCTGACACAACCTGTGAATGGCAAAAGTGAGAACATATCAGTACTTTCAGTAAATAACCTGCATACAGGGAGAACATAAGTGCCTACAGTCAGATGACAGTAACTTAATGGCTTTCACTACGACAGTAACTTGCTGTGCCAAGGCGCTAGGCTTTGCTCCAAAAAGTCTTGAATCCTAACCCCCCCTCCCTTCCCATTAAAGTGCCAAATTGCCTACTCATGAATCCTAGAACTTTATAAAGTTCGTCATCAAAAGGTCGTTGCAGCTGATCAGAAGTAATGACGCCATCATTCTCCACTGCAAGAAGGCATTTAGGACATCATGTGCTAACCTCGTTAAAAAGAAGGGAGACATCACTGCCCATCTATCTGTGCTATATGGGCCCTGCCCTCAGAAGGTGAAAGCTCAGAGTCGATTGCTTTCAACTGACTTCCATATCGTCTATCTCCGTCAGACACAACTTCCAACAGAGTGCAAACTGCGTACGCTGTGAACGCCTGCCTGTCATGTTTTAACTTGCACAGCCTTTGGATGGATAGGAAATCATTGTATCAAGAGTGTCAGATGGGAACAGGGTAAATCAAAAGAATTCTATTTAATTGTGGCAATTATTAGCCACATTTCAAGAATAGAAGAAGTCGAATATTTGTATTACTTTTTTGTTCATTTCTATAGATATGCTAATTTCTACGGATATCCTTACATACTTACAAAGTAATAGGTGATCTTATAGACAAGCATGCAGAGGTCAATCTGCTGTAGAAAAAAACTGTTACACAGAAAGTATGTTTTCTGCATTTAAGCTTTAAGTAAGCAGTGAAGCCCATCACAGTATGTTAACTCCAGTTGTGGGAGGGGGACCTGTGCTCTTATTGCAAAGAAATTAAAATTATTTATAGCCATTTCAGCCGACATTACCATTAACAAATGATTGCATATTGGCAGACATATTCAATACTGAGCATCACTAGTTTGATTGTAATGCTACACTGCATTACAAATAGCCACTGATGGCCTTTTAAATGATCTCCTTCAGAGACATTTTTTCTTTTATTTTAATGGCTGATAGTTGTATGTTAATGAAAGAAAAGGAAACGAAAATGAAATACTGTACTTTCGATTAACAGGATGCATCTTAGCCACACTGAGACAGTCCCTGGGAGGTCAACCAAACCAGTATCCTGTATTCTTATTAAGCAGCAGACATCCAAAGCCATCACTTCCTGTGGACCAGCCTGCTGACAAAATTATACTGCCTTCCATCTGATTAACAATAATGACATTCAGTCATCAATTAATCCTTTGGGAAATCCTGAACTCGAGTTTTAGGTGTTAGCACTCACTGTTCTTTTCTGGGCTCCACCCTTGGCAATACTGCTGGACAGGCCAACCGAAAGCAACCCAACACCCAGCCATTTATTGAACTCACTACCAACTATAAGTACACAACTGAGCATCCGATAATAACATCAACAGAATATATAAATACACACGGTCATCTTGAGCCGAGAAGCCCCAGGGCACTAGATGTGACAGATATTTTGACCTGGTATTTTCAAAGTCTGTGTCAAATGCTTTTGCTGTCACATGAACCAACCTCTCTTTTTCCTTTACCTTCCCCCTTTTAGGTTTATCTCCATCTGTAGGAAGAAAGATTACTTCCGTCCTCTCGGGATGTCACACTAATGGGAGCACTGAACTGATTCATAGCTTTATTCACTATCTGCTCCTCCCTAACAGTAAACATTTCACTTCACCTCATACAGTGAGACAAGTGTGCACTGAGAGTTAACCAGACAGGTAGAAAGTATTCCAGCTGATGGCAGAAAAATACTCATTATTTTGTGTGTTTTTACATTAAAAAGGTTCATTATTAATGTGGAGAAAATGCCACGATCATACAGACACCCATGAAAACCAGCTAAAAGCCCTGTAAGACTTCCATAGGACTGAGGGTGAAACATTGTGTGAAAGATCAACACGTTTTACATAAACAGTGCAAGTGTGCATGTGAGAATTTGCTGCAATATTTCCTTGCACTGTCCCAAAGCAGGGAGGAACATGTGGTTTTGCATCAAATTAACCTATGCTTGAGTATGCCAGCTGTAGTGTGATGGCTGAGGATGTGGCATCATGGTCCCAGAATCTGACCTGTGCTCTTCCTGTCTTTGTTATCAGTAAGCAGGTCAGTGAAAGGGCCCATAGGAAGGATATCCACACACACCTTCCAAAAGAACCTATGCCAAACTCAGCACTTACGCATAGGGGTCACTTTTTAAATTATTCACTTGTAACCTACTTCCCTGTGCGCACACGCACACCCACCCCAAAGCTATAAATAAATAAATCAGTTAACACACTGAAGGTTGAAAATATATGTGCGCTTAGCACAAGAAAGTGCTGAGTGCAACTTTTCCAAAGGAAGTCCAGACTTTAGGGGAGGGGTTCTGCCATATTTTCACCAGCTGCAGTTTACCACAAGTTGCATGCAGGGTTTTAATGGAGGGCACTGACAAAAACAAGGGAATTAACATTTAGGCTTGACCTCAGGGCAAGAAATCTTTCCGTGCCTGAAATATGTCCGGGGTTTACGACAAAGATAAAGGGTAGGGGGCAAGAGCACTTAGTTCACGAAACATAAATATTGGGTTCACAAGAACAAGACGAGAAGATAACTGTACACTACAGATTTTGAACATTAAACACTTCATTTCCTGCATTCTGGCAACATTCTGCCACCACCTATAATCAGTGCTTGAAGTGGAAAATATAGGTGCTGGTACTTAGGGCTGGGAAATATGGCCGAAAATGTTATCATGATAAAACATTTCATATCATTCAATATCGATTATTCTCCTGATAAATGTCATTATTTCTTTCAGGTTTAAAGGCAGATTTGGAAAAATTATCTACATGGTGCTCAGTCTCTAATTAGTTAATGTTAAGTACTAACTCATCAATAATCATTCACGCAGAACAACAAGTTCAGCATTTTAAAAGTTTGCTATGGCACATCAAACTATCCAGGCTGTGATTGGTCGGTTCACGAAAAGTTAGTGTGATAGCTACTTTCTGCTCATGGCTGAATGAAAGGCACCCGAGCTTCTACCTGCTCCGTCTCCACCGACAGAGAACAGATGAGCGCCATAAGCCCTGTGACTTAGATATGGAACCAGAGTCTGCTCGGTACTGGTACCTTTTTAGGGGATGTAGGGTTTTGGTAGCTAAACCCCTGAAATATAGATGACACCAGTGCAGTGTGTGCTACAGGGATTCATTAGGATTCCCTCTGGAGAATAGGTCACTGTCCCCCCCTCCATGCTCATTTTAACTCTCTGGCAGGGATGCTTGAAGGTTTGCCAGGACTCACACAGATACTAATAAAAGATTCCAGCAGCCTTATAAATAGGCCATTTAGATGACCACCGATCTTATCGAGGTATGCTTCGACAGATTAGGAGCTGATAAATATCAGCGGACATCCGTTACTAATTATTTCATCACTCAACTGGCTGATTATAATAACACTGAGATGGTGACTGGTATTCGAACACGTTTTTATCTTCTCATGTTCAGAATAGGGCAGCTCTCTTTCTTTAGGTATGATCCGTCACTGAACCCTGCAGAAGTTAGGGGGTTTAACTGGTACAAACAAACCAAGTGTTAGCACAGTGAATAAGTGAGTCTATGTGCATGTGGAAATTCAAGATATGAGTCATAGTTGCAGAGACTCTCTCTCTTGCCTTCTCTCTCTCCATCGCAGGGGTCACAGGGGTGAGGGGATTTCCTCAGAGAAGATTAGCTCAGTGTAGCCACTTCTCTCATCAGCACTGGTCAATTGAGTCAACCAAAACAATCTGAAGAGACCTAGCCTGGGTGTGGCTGAACTGAAACACTGTGGTGTTGCACTGATGCTCTGTAAATATCGCAACAGAGGTTCCAGGATGTAATGTCATTTGAGGAGAGAACATTAGGGTGAATTCATGCTAATTGTAAAACTTGCAAGTAGGATGATTATGTCTCTCCATTTTCCCTCTTACATCAACTCTCGTTATATCTAAACAGACCTTTCTTGAATTCTTTCACTAATGCACCAGCTGGAGATCAAAATCCTTGTTGTGTCTTGTACAATTTCGACTGCTACTAGACTGAACATGTTTTTAATTAGTAGTCCAGCAAATGAAAACTGGGGACTGAGCCCTTTTGTTTCAGCTACCTATCTAACTAGTCATAATTACAGCTCTCTGTGGAGAAAACAATACAACCTAGATGAGTCATCTCAGTCATGAGGTATGTTTAAGAATGGGTCATCTGTTACACACAACAACTGGGATTCAAAATCCTAAGATTTGAATCCCAGTTGTCCAACAATGTATTATTCGATTACTCAATTTAAGAGTAATCGTAGCAAAGTGTTTCATCAAGATATAGCAGTTAAAATGATCACTGCCAACAGAGATCAGGAAATGATTTCGCCTGCTTAAAAAGACGGTATACAGGAGTAAGGAGGACATTTTCAAAAAGCACCCCACAATGCATACTAACAACCCTTGGCCGGGGAAGTGCACAGAGGAGCCTTTGACGAAACCGGGCAACAGGGAACTAAATCCTCTCTGTGTTACAATCCTTCCTACTTCAGCAACACTAAGTGAGTTGCTTTTCAAATACATCTGTATTCTAACCCCCAGCCCTCTTATTCATGTGGAAATTATCATCAAGGTGCAAACTGTAGCACAGTCTTCACTGACAACAATGACTCAGGCAAAACATCAAACCGTGTTATGGTACTGTTTATATAGACAGAGAAAATACATTATTACAGGATGACACTGTGTTGCAAAAGATCTTTCGGGCTTAGCCTTTCTAACCTCCCTGCAGCTGACCCTGACGATCCTATCCAAACACTCATGTCTTTCCCATCACTTAAGCATTCCTCTGGATTGATCAGGATGAATAGAAAAAAAAAAAGAGAGTTCAACTCTCACCGTGCATTCACTAACAAATCTATTCGTTCCCGCTGAGTAACTCCCAGCTGACCACTACTCATCTCTCCAGCTTGCTATATACTTTTTCATTAGCCTGACAGCAAACACAATAGGCTCAGTTACATACCACCTACACTGAGCTAGGGGCCTGCGGCGCTATCATGGGGAGTTGTAAACTATGAGAGCAACACAGAAAAATCAACCTATACCCGCACCACCCCCCACTATCCCTCTGCCTCGCAGCACAGATGCATCCACGGGGCCCATGGTGCCTGCAAACCTTGCTGATTGGTGCTTCCTGGACTAGTTTCAAAAGCCTGGGCAGTGAACCTCATTCTATGCAATACTTCCATGACAGAACCACAGAACATACTGTAGCCTGTAGCTTAAAGAAGACCACCGTCACCAACTAAACATAAACGGGAACAAAACAATACGGACAAAAGATAAGTAACCTGAAACTGATCAAACTACGCACTGCTAATCTAATGCTATTTTTAGTATGATTTACATTTGCCTCTTGTGGATGTGACGCATACTTACATATTTCATGGAGGCAAACAGCCTACACACAAACACTTTTTTAAAGCCCCTTTTACACTGCCTGTTAACGGTGGGACTGTTGCGCCATTTTTCCACCTTGCCGTCTGCCCGGCGGCGGAGGCAGTAACAGGGCAGAATCAACGGCTGTGTAAAAAGGATGAGTGGTGAAGTTGTTAATCTGGTAAATCTGTAGGTTACAGTTTGTCGCCTGATTTGGTCTGAATTAAGCCTAATGCTCCACCCTGACCACTGAATGCCAGCTGTGGGTTAAGGGGAATTGATGTATTAAAAAAAGTTGTATTATCATAGTGTTCTGCAAACAAATATTTGCATAACATGTTCCTCTTCCTTGTAGGAAACAGGATGTCCTGCTTTTTATAATCCGTCCTGTATGTATGTATGTATCATATTAGCTACCGTGTGGGTCAGATGACTGAAGGGATCTGCAAACAAACAGAAGCATGTCCCTGTCTATTCAGAAATGGCCACATGAGCATGTTTTTACCTCAATTCCTCAAGCATAGTTCATAATTAACATTCACACAAAATATATAGGCTTCCTTTCCTCCCTGCTGACAGAAAGTAGACAATTAATGACAGCTAGGTATGCACTTATCTACATCACTATCTCCTGCACGTAATCCCTCACTTTCCAATCCAGTAAAAGAAAAGCCTCGCCGGTCTTTCTGCCATTTCCCTCCACTTCCACTGGCAACATCATTAGCAGATGGTTTTCTGACTCCAGTGCTATTACACACCAAGAACCTTGGCCATTCGGGAACATCATCAGAAAATGAAAAACTGATCAGAAATGCAGATGGCACTGTTTGATATGAGCCAACCAGGTTAGATCCAAAATGAGGAAAATTGAGTCTTGCAGAAAAAGCTGATACGTTGCAGTAACCAGGAACCAGAGGGATTAAAATTAGGAAAAATATTCAAGTGAAGAATAAAATAGTTACTACAGGGATGGGGATGGGGGAACTACGCAGAAAACGGTTTCTTCGGCAGAATAGATCACAATACAGCTGTGTTGCTGTTCTTTGCATTAAGCAGATAGCTACAACACTGCCAACATTGGTCAATGCCAATTAAGGCACTGACCCATTTCATTAGTTTGAACTTCACTGGAGAGTTGTCACTTCCTGTGATGGTCTAAATGTTGTTTTAGGCATCTCCTGAAAAGCCTGAAACAGCATTTTCTAAAAGAAGCAAATGTTGTGGTCGGAAAAACATTAAATACTTGGTTGATGCTGTCATAACAAAAGATAGACCAATAGATCCGAAACAAAACCATCTGTTTCAGATTTCAAAAACCTGGACGATACTGGTGGAGCACTAGAAGCACTGCCAAACAATTCCTGAATTGGATTCCTTTAAAATGGTAGGATTATGCTCATGAGTTTACCAGGGGGTTGAACGCATGTTGGAATTGTGGGAGATCTCGCACACAAGAGCTATTTTGACTGATCTAGCCGTTTTTGTGCTATTAATGATCAATTTAAGAATCTGAAATCTCACTCAAACTGGCATTATCCTCCTAGGCTTTTGAACAGCTGCTAATTGTGTGTACACTGTTATGCACTTTCAGACTGAGCATGGTTTGTACATTTTGCAAAGCAATCTTACAATGAGCAACACAGTGGCTACAGTCCGAGATTCAATGTTTTCCTCCAACTCCAGCACTAGACAACAACATTTAATTCAAATATGTTTGTCCAGCCTCAGCCTAGATGGCTGGTAAGAATATGCTGACATCTGATTTAATGATGATGAGTCTTTTGACTTTCTGTCAACCCTTTATTTTGGACATTCATCATTTCTTTCTGTAAAGCAAGTGATTGCCTTGTGCTGTATTTGCAAAGCTGATGTCTCAGTACTGTGAAATAATTTGTCAACAACAAACTGGCTTTGGTTTCCTAAGTAGAGGTATAACATATAGCCCCCAAACATAAGCCAACAAGCACTGACTGAGTGATCAATTATTCTTTCATTGTATCAAATAAATAACTGGACATATCTGGAGTGGAGCACATCCCCAAAGCATCTCTGAAACAAAACCCTGTATCTATTCAGTAAAGAAGACTATTAGAGAAACGATTATAAGACAGCAAGTTTAAGTATTTATGAGGTTGATTTTTTTTGTTTTGGCAAAAGTTTCACATTTCTTCTGCCTTTAAAGGGAGTAAAAAGACCCCTGGGAATAGCAGAGGTCCTTTTTAACTGGGTTTCAAGAAGCCCTCTAGAAAACAAGAGATTTAACTCCTTGATTTCATTTAACCGATTGGACATAGAGGAAATAAAGTTTGTAATACCTGAATTAGACTCTGCAGAATTAATAATAATAATTTACAGGCTACAAGTCAAAATTGTGTGGTGGAAAAGTACGGTGTTAGAGTTTTTGCTGACAGTTGGGATTACACCAAGAAACCATGAGCCAGCCTGGGTGTGCCGTGTCTTCAGGAGAGGGGGGGGGGGGGGGGACTTTTCAGCAAAAACAAGTCGGAGTAACTTCATTATAGATGCTGTTTAAACAACTACTTAATCAAGCGTAATGTTAGTTCAAGTCAAACGCTAACGTTAAGATAACTTTCTAACAGCAGCTTACCATCAACACAAAAGCTAAACACTGATTTTGGTAATGTGAATTAACATTAACAGAAACCGTTTTAGCTGAAGAAACTTCAGTTACCGCAGCACCACAGCGGTAGTTAGTTAATTTAATATGAAGACATTAAAACATGTCTGTTCATATCGTTCATTTATGAAAAAGGAAGAAAAAAATCCCACAAACAGTTAAATGCAAACCAGTAACGTTAACGCTAAACAACGTTAGCTAACCTAAAGATCACACCGTCTAATGTTAGCTTAATGTTACATCACAGATGCTCCACAACCATTTAACATATAGATAAATGACACGTGAACTACGACACTAAAGCATACATTTAAACTAGCTAGTAACTTAAACTTAAGACGACTTGGGAGTGTATTTGCACCAATCTGTCTGCCGTTAAGCGGTCAGCCTTCTGGGTCCAGCGGTCTCTCGTCCTACCCTTAAAACAGGTGTGGTACTTTGTTGCTCTCTAACGGCCGTGTTAACAAACACCCAGTTATTCCTCCACATTAACACATTTCTGAAGCCTTACCAAAGCAGGACTTGTATTTCTGCCCTCGGTCGATGTTATCTGGACGACCGCATTAATGGAGCATTTCTAGGCATTGGTTCTCCAAACGCAAACCGCTCCTGCAACAAAAGCCCCACCTTCCGGATGTAACAGTGCAGATGACAGGAAGTAACGTCACAGCGTCGTGTGTTTTGATTTCCACTGAAGCCTTGTACAAAATACATGCTGTTGACCCGTACAATGCAGCAACACACTAAAACAGGAATTAATGTATAGAAATATAATTTATATTATATTATATTATACATATTAAGGTCGAGGAATTTCACCCCTGTTTTTCGCCTTAAAGGATCATATAAGTTTGTTTTAGCTCTTGACTACTCTTAACTACAAATTGAGTAATTTTGCTGACGATTTTTATATAGTTTCTGATAAATAATAATAATATAATAAATAAATAAGATATGACACCAAAATCTCTGACTCATCAGATTCTGGGACCCAAATAGGAAGTTAAGCACCATAGGCTATTGATAATAATAATAATAATAATAATAATAATAATAATAATAATAATAATTTATATAGCGCCTTTCACAAACCCAAGGACGCTTAACAAACTTTAAAAAAAGAAAAAAAATCTTGTGAAAGTTGCATTTTGGTTAGTAATTAAAGGCCTGCGTGCAAAGAAAAAAATTACCGACATTAGGTTTAGGCACCAAAAGTAAATGGTTAGGTTTAAAGAGGTGGTATTATGCTCATTTTCAGGTTCAAAATCCTATTTAGGGGTTGTACCAGAACAGGTTTACATGGTTTAATTTTTAAAAAACAGCATATTTTTTGTCATACTGCACATTGCTGCAGCTCCTCTTTTCACCCTGTGTTGAAGGCTTCATTTTAGCTCTGGAGTGATACATCTTGATACATTTCACTTTGCACACACATCACACAGAGCAACATTATTACCTTCACAGCTAAAATACAGCCAGACGTGACGGCTTTTACAGTCAGCCAGAGTCAGTATTCAGTCGTAAAGGGCTGCAGCGGCTCACTTCAAAGAAGCTCAGTCACAGAGCCGTAGTGCAAGCATGACTTTGACAGGCGGAAGGAAAAGTAGTTCCTATCAACCGTGTATAATTAGACCATCCTGGTGACAGTAAGATACTTATAATAAAACACACACTCACTCCAAATGACTGAGTTTAGATATCGATCCATATTTTCTTGTGACATCACAAGAAAGGGATGTAAAGGCTGGACTACAAACGAGCTGTTTTCAGGCAGTTCAGAGCAGAGCTTTCTGTGGGAGATGTTGTTCCTCAAATGTAACTTGCTTTGGATAAAGCGTCTGCCAAATGAGTAAATGTAACTCCCTTAGGGCTGGACTTTGGGCTTTTTCATTTTGCAAACCTAGTACATGCACAAAAAAGATATATAACTCAATAAAGGAGAGGGAAAAAGCCAAAAAGCATAATACCACCTCTTTAAGAAAACATTGTCGTTTGGGTTTAGTCACAGAATCTGATGGGTCACAGATTTTGGTGTCACAAAAAAATCCCGGTGGCCTTTGCCAGATGGAACTTTGATATAAGTCAATTCAGAGTTGCTGTTCATAGTGATAATCTATCTCTAGCGATTGATTAACTGCTTGGTCTTTAATGTCAGCAAATCGTAAAAAAAAAAAAAAAAGCTCATTACAAGTTCCCACTGCCTATGGTGCTGTTTTTGAAATTCTTGTTTTGTACCACCAAAAGTCCTAAACCTGAAAATATTCAGTTTACTATCACATTAATATTGTATACAAATGAAGGACAGTCAATGGATGCCTAGAATTTAATATATTTCCAAAACACAGTTTGCTAAATAGTTAGTCGTGATTAAGTAACAAGTAATTAGTGGCTATGCACAACCACTGGTATGGCTGTTTAACAATAAAATGATAGTTAAACCAATAAACCTTCATGTTTTGGCTAAACATTAACACTAGTAACCTGTAAGACTCCTCTGGGCGCAATAAAACTAACATCTGGGTCCAGCTGCCTTTTGCAAATGATAGCCAGTGAGCGTGTTAGAAATGCTTCACTATTTGTTTCTCAGAAATTACAAACAATTATTGTCTGAACAGACTGAAGGATGACAGCAGCAGTTGGATCAGGCAAAAACATATTTTATTTGTTTTTGCCTTGAACGCTGACAAAAAAAAACCCTTACATTCAACTCAGATTTTTTTATCCTTAAAATGATTGCTGTATAGATGAAAAAAGGAGTCAAATGGTTAGGTTTTCAAATAAGAACCCAAAGACACTTTTATGATATTACCATAGAAGAAGTCCTTAAAATTGAGCTCAGTAAAGCTCAAGCAGCCTACAGTACAGTCAGTGCAATTATTTTTGCTGTGCAGTAATAGTGCCTTCCATGACCCTGGCTGAGAAGAAGTGAGTATATAAAGTAAATGGATGGATGGTAATGGTACAACTGGGGGCTTTATTAGGGCATACTAATAGAGTTGAGTAAAACCTTGTCACTACGCTCTCCCAACAGATTTTGTTAGCACAGACATTGGCATAAAACATGAAAAATATAAAGGTGTTCGCTCCACTTTCTATACTTTACTTTTTCTCATCTTAATTGCAGCAGGGGAACAGAGCATATACATTAACAATGTTTTAGGTCTCAGCCCTGTTGTATTTGGCACTGATGAAGGGCACTCCAGAGGGCTCAGGTTTAGTTGTTTTATTTTGCTCTAGAGGTTTTCCTCACATATATTATAGGGCACAGACATTAAAGGAACACTAACCACACTCTTGACAAATCATGTTATGACATAATTTATATTTTCTCCCAGTGTGAATACAAAAAAAGCAAAGATCAGTTTTCTAGTACATTCTTTAAGGTACTTCAATTCTCCAAGAATTACCTTTCCACAGTTTGGGTTTGCAAGGGGTCAACTCCTGTCCAAGTCCAAGTGCAAAGTGAGAGATCAGGGTCATATTTCCGTTTCCATGACATTTACTGTCGCATGTGGTAGCAACACGTGGAAAGAGACACATTATTTTGTTTTTCGTATTTGTAATTTATTTTGTTCCTTTCATTATAGTGGTTGCTCCGTAGCAACATGGAAACCATTAGTTCTTTTTTCCTATTATGTAAACCTCATACAGTTAAATACCGTGAGACTTGTGTAATGTAAGTAGGAGACAAGTTTCTTCACATCTCTTTAAATGGTTTCATGTCTTAACAAACATTTGCATATCAGGAGAGCACATTACAGCGCAACATATGATTAATGGCAAAACAAATATGTTGAAAATACACTTGTGAAATATGTTTGCAACCTGAGTAAGAGGAACTGAAAATGTGATACCTGAAATACCCTCTGACCTAAAACATCCTAGGCGCCTAAATTAATGTGGTAAATGAATGAATTATTTAAGACAACAGTTTGACGCCTCATATGAACATGTATTGTAACTCTTCTGCAGTCAGTACTTACTTCAGTCAGGCATGTGCTGCGCCTCTATCAGTCTGATACCTGTCCAGCAGAGTTTTCAGACTGGCCAAACATTTCTTTGTGTACAGCGGAGGATCCTTTTCATATCCACTAAACACAGGCCGCTTATGGCTCAACCTGAATAAAAACAGACTGATTAACATGGAGGACCAGAGAACAGTTTATGTATAGTGGCTGTTAAAAAGGAACCAAACACTGCAGGCTTCATGCAATATCTTCAGCCATTCCAGCATAGACAAATGTCAAAGAAAACCCAGTCAGACAGATATTAGGATGCAAGGAAACGTTAGTTTAGTTACACAGGACGTTCCATCCAGACGCCCTGGTAGTTCAAGAATCATTCAATTAAAATGTGACTCACCTTTTCTCTTGTAGTCATGTAAGGGTAGCTCAGCTGACTCAGGATCACAAGAGAAACAGCTTTGACAAACTATGCAACAGCTGAACGGTTACACACCCAATATGTTTACTCAGACAACCGCTTTGTGCAGCCCGTCCTCGCCAGAAAAATGGCTTTACAGGTCATGTCATTCATGGTCCTCAGAGGATGAATCTGACTTTGGTGATCTCCTGACTTTCTCTTGAGCCACCATCAGGTTTACATTTGTGGTTTTCAGTTACATTTCTCAACAACTATTAGAGGTAATTCCCAAATAGTTTGCTACAGACATGCATGTCTCCCTCAGGATGAACTGTCAGCACTTTGTGGGTTGTCTGACTTGTTACCTAGCGCCATCTACAGGTCAACATTTTAATTTGTATAAGACTTTGGTTTGTGACCAAATACCTGCAAAACTAATGACATTCCCATTGGCCTTTGTTGTACTTTATATTTAGTTTTAATTAGCAAATCTCTGCATGCTAAAACAAATAAATAAATAAACAAACATGGTGACCATATTGTCATTATCTTCGTGAGCACGCTGATGTTAGCACAGAAGCTCATAGCACCGCTGTGCGCAGAGACAATGAGAGAGAGGGAGAACAAGGTGTATCCCTTTAGGAGCCATTACATCTCTCACAATTAGTAAGAGAAAGCAGTTCGGTCTCAGATAAATTAATTTCACACTGACTACATATCACATCCTCTGTTGATAGTGGTGAATACAGCTCATTATCAGTAGGCCTTTGTCACAGAAGACATTTTGATATGTCAAAATAGCAAAATCACAGGAAAAAATAACAAAAATATTGATAGCTGATTTCTAAATCCTAATATTGTGCATGCTGGCTCACAGTCACACTGTCATGGCATAGTGGGACACATAGAAGGGAGCCATTTGTTAATGTTATTAGTAAGACCTGTGTTCTTTCTAGTTTGACAAGTCAAAATGTCTTTTCTTACTTATGAAAAAAGACTTTGGGAATCACCTTTACTGTCTGTACCTCTGTGTGTATATTGTGTAGGCTGCCTCTCTCCCCTCTCTCTCTGTCTCTGTCTCTCTCTCTCTCTCACCCCCAACAGGTCGAGGCAGATGGCCGCCCACCCTGAGCCATGGTTCTGCTCGAGCTTTCTGCCTCTTAAAAGGAAGTTTTTCCTTGCCTCTGTCACCTAGTGCTTGCTCCGGGTGGGAATTGTTGGGCTTCTGTAAATATCATCACAGAGTATGGTCTAGACCTGCTCTTTTATGAAAAACACTCT